GTGGCAATAAAGAGGAAGAAAAGGAGACAGCAAAAATGCCCCATCCCAGGCCAGGTGGATGGGGCTTGGAGCAACTTGGTCTAGTGGAAGGTGTCCCTGCCCATGGCAGGGGCTTGGAACTGGGTGAGCTTTAAGGTCCCTTCCAACCCAAACCAGTCTGGGATTCTGTGATTCTATGACAATACAACACCATTAGAAGCTGCCTCACATGCTACTCATGAGCGGTCCAGATGCTCCACATCCAAAGTAAAGTTGGCTTCAAGGCTTTTCTACCCCACATCTTGTTTACAAGTACAACAGGTCCTAGCAAGCTTTCCAAGCAACACAATGGTCAGTGTCTACCAAACACCCCCATTACAGAGTGCTGGAGGACCTCCACATGGCTGTATCATCCTCGCTCAAGCTCACCCCTATTTAGGGTGTCACCTCACTGCTGGGACCTGGGCATCATCCTTCCCATACACCTTTTACCATGGAGAGCCCCAGTCCCTATCAACTTTTATCACTTCGGAGAAGAACAAACCAGCTTTAGATTTCCATGCCTCGATCTCTTCTAGCCCATGCCAGCACTGCACCACTGATACATACCCCAGCCATGAAATGCCTTAAGGCAGTCTTTCAACTACTCAAGCTACTTAATCAAAAAAACCCCAACCCAAATTCCAAATCAAGCCCACCCCCTCCCCCCCCCCCCCCCCCCCCCCGTTGCTCTACGCATTATTTTCATCATGCAAACTGAAAACCCCATCCTAAGGGATTCACAGTCATGTCATTTTTAGGGAATAAATGCCAGCTGGCCTCTTTCCTTTGACATTTAGCTAATAATTGTTTCAGCCAAGTAATCCGACAGCGCTGAGCTCAGTAGCCCATAAATGCTGCTGGTGTTTTACTGAACGCTAAGACAACACTTGCTGCTCTCCAGCTCCCTGGTACATGTGGTTACACACACATGAGCCTTCCTCAGCCCTCCAGCCCTCGTATGAACCAGCTGATGATTTGCTCTGCTTAAATGTAGCTTTCCACCCCCCCACCACCCCATGCATACCTTCCATGCACACACCCAGAAACAGGGAGGAAGGAGGCAGAAAGGAAGGAAGCAGGTACCTCCTTGATAGTAAGAGGGCTGGAATTTGCTCCTCATTAACAACTCCCAGCCGACTGCTACCCAACACCTTCTTGAGCCATCCAACCCAGGAACCTCTCTTTCAAGCTTCCCAGTTCCAGATGTACTAAAACCTTTGACTGCAGCACCCTGAAGATTCCTTTTAGTTGCCTCAACATCATTTCACTGACCCAGTGACACTCCTATCCCTTAACTTTCACCCAAGCTGGGCTTCCATTTTCCAAAAGACCTCCTTTTGGCCCAAGTTACATCTGCTTAACACAAAACAGGTCAAGAAACTTCGCCAGAACATCCCCTTTTATTACTCTGCATGTCTGCTGGGAGCTCACAGAGCCCACCACAACCCCCTCCTCCCTCACACTCAGTGTGCCCTCATGCTTATCTAAGCTGCAGGCTCCTAATAACCCCTCTTGCATGCAGAGGAAGCCCAACTATTACTTCTTCTCCATTGACGGGCTATGCAAAAGGAACCTGGCTGCACTCCCTAAGCTGCCTGTGTTACCTGTTGGCTCGGCTGCTGCCACATCACCCTCACTAGGGTGCTCAGCACTTGCTGTACAGAGACACAGTTCTGCATGCTGGGAGTTAGTTATAAAAGCCTCTTGCTGGAGATAAATGCATCTAAAAAGCATAAAGTATTTCAGCAGAGACAGCGTCGCTGGTAGCTGTGCTCAGCGGGAAGGAACAAGCCACTTCAGAGGGACAGCCAAGGCGAGGAGCCTACAGACAGCCACTGCTAAGTGGGGCCCACGCGAACAGGCAGCTCTTAGCGACACAAACCCTCCCTGGACATCCTGCTTCCCATGCACTTGGCCTTCTCCACATCAAGGGATAGGCGCACTGAGGCAAAGAGCCGCCTGGCCAGCTCCCACCATGCCCCAGAGCCATGGCCATCGCACCCGGGGTCCGTGAGCATCCATGGAGTGACACAACCTCCTGTTTTCTCTGCCAGCAAGAGCAAGGGGGGAATGCAGGGAGCGCCTGGACCGCAGCAGGAAGATGCAAGTCAGAGGCTTTACACCGAATAAAGGTTCTCCCACCCCGCAGATGCAGCAGCACGCTGCTGAGATGATCTTGTAACACTCCCCGGTGCCATTACGCTACCTGGTTAACCACACGGTTAGGCAGTAAATGATCCACAGCAGGAATTTGGCAGAGAAGTTACACATCTGCACTTTATAGAGCCATTTTCTATAAGAAATGCCTCTGTTTTATCTTTAAGAAGCATTTTCACTATGAGGACAGAGATGAAAAGCCCTTCCTCCACCAAAACACTCCTTCACACATGATGATTTGCTTTGTCATGCCACTTTAATACGTGCCCAGCAGCCTCAGCTGAAGAATTAAGGCAGATCTCCCGGGTGAGCACACAGGAACTTCCCAATACCTGAACGCATTAAAAGAGTAAATATTTTTTTCTTGTAGAGACATCAGCATAGGCCAACAAACCGTGCACAAATCCATTCCCATTCCCTGGTATGCTGCTGGAGCTCGCTCCATTTTGGGTCATACCAGGCAGCTTCAAATTACATCACATCTGATCCGGTGCAAGGAAACACAAGCTCACCGTGATCGAAAGCAGCAGAAAGAAGGGGAAAAAACACAGACCCGGGGTAAGCAAGGTACCGCACACCCAGCGTGGGGACAGCAAGGCCACGCCGGGGGAAAGTAGCCGATCCCGGGATGCAGCTTCTGGTCCCTCAGACGCTGGAGCTGCTCACACCTCAATGTGGTACTGATGGAGAACAAAGAGAGGGGATGCGGGCGCACAGCGGCATCGCTGGGATGCTGCTCCAAGCGGATTGGGACCTGGAAAATCGGTTCTGTCCAGCTCCCTCCGTGTCTCCCGCACCCCTTGAAGCCCGCACATGCCCTTCACCGGGACACGGACACTGCTCTCCCTCATGACCCGCTCTCCCGAGGCTCGACGTGGTCACGAGCTGCCCCTCAGGCACACACGGGTCTACCGACGGCCCCAGGGAGGCTCCGCCGGGTTACACCAACCAGAGGCACAGCACCCGGTCCCCGGGTGGGCAGATGCGGGAGGCGGCCTTGCCCGCGCCAGGGCGGGCCCGGGACGGTGCCCCGGTGGCGCGGCCTCACCTGCTCAGCACCGTAGGCCGTGGCGAATTGGATGAACTCCTCCACCCGCACGAAGCCGTCGCCATCGCGGTCCAGGGCGTCGAAGACGGGGCGGAGGCGCGGCTCCTCCTCGGGCCGGGCCGGGGTCTCATCGGGGCAGCCCCCCAGCTCCTGCGGGGACCACGGCGGTGGCCCCAGGGCGGGCTCAGCGGCCTCAGGTGCCCAGAGGCCCAGCTCCGGTTCTAGCTCTAGCTCCAGCTCCGGGCTCGGCCCGTCTCGCCACGGCCCCCGGGGGAACGGGGGCTCGGGCACGGCCGCCGGCGGATGCGGCTCCATTTTCATCGGCGGCGCTCAGCGCCCGCCGCCGCCCGCCCCGCCGCTGCTGCCCCGCGGCCATGCCCCGCAGCCATCACCCGCTCACATCGCGGCCGCCCGGCGCGGCGCTGCCGGTACCGGGGCGGTGATGCCGATAGCTCCGCCCGCTCCCGGGCGCAAGGCTTTGTGCGAGCCGGCGCCGGCCCCGCCCGCAGCACCGCCACCGGGGACAGCCCTGCTCCACCCCGCCGCCACCAGGGACAGCCCCGCTCCGCCCGGCGGGAGGGACGGCCCCGAGCGCCTGGGAACGCGGTTGCTCCCCGCGGTCAGGTGAGGAGGCGGCGGCGCCGAGAAACAGCCAGCCCGCCCGCTCGCCCGCCCGCGCCGCCGCTCTACGGCAGCCCGCAGAGAACCCCCAGATCCAGCCGGCACCGCCGCCGCAGCGGCGGCCAGCGGACGGTGACGTAACCCGCCTGCCTGAGCCGAGGCCCCGCCCACCCGCCCTGACGGCAGAGCGAGGCCGCGCGGGGGTCACGCCCCTTCCCTCCGTCCGGCGCGCGCGGGGCGCTTGCACGTGCTGCCCTTTCCCACCCCCGCGGGCACGGGGCACTGGCTGGGGGGGGGGGGGGGGGAGCCTCCGCACCCCTCTGCAGGGGGTAACCGTGCACCGGGGGGCAGCGGCCCCCCTAGCGCCCCGCCCCGGCAGCCTCTGTCCCCAGGCTGCCCAAGCCCCCCGGTTTTACTCGCGTGGCTGCTGGCGTCCCCAGCCCGTTAGCGGCAGTTCTGCACCACCCAGCTCGGGCTGACCCTGCCCCCGGGATGTGCCTCGATGTGCCCCACGCTGAGGGGCTGTCAGGGTGTGCCTAAAGCTAAGGCCTCTCCGAGGGACCACAGCTTCTCCTGCACGCGGGGACAGTCCCCACCTCACTTGTGTGTGGTTCAACAAGGCACGGGTCTGTACGCGGACCCTCCTGGAACCTGAGAGCAGGAGACTGCAGCAGGGACCAACAAACATCAAACCCGTACCTTCTCCAGTAGAAAATACTCATCCTGATACCTGGGAAGAGGCATATTGTGGCTGGAGGCAAGCCCCAGAAGACACCCAGGCAAAGGACCTCAGTTCAAGCACCACATCCCCATCTCTTCTGACAGGGTCAGCGAGTCGTCCCCCCCCCAAGTCTTCTCAGCACCTCTGTCCTGCAGCACTGGGACCACACAAGACTCTGCTAATGGGAACAAGTTTTCCACCCTCCCTCAGGGCCCAGTTTGGAGCAGCAGGATCAGCCAGCATGGCAGGGCACACGTGCAGGCTTTGCTCATGCAGCAGCAAGCTACTGCAGCAATGCTCTGACCAAAGACTCCTAAAGCTCCTGATGCTGCTGCCTCACAAGACAAGGAGAAGAAGCATTCCCAAGCTTCCAGCAGCCAAACCTTCAGGATCATCCCCTGGCACAGTCAAACTGATGAGAGGCATCACAGCTCAGGGTGGAAGTTCTTTATTCATGGCCTGGAGGAAGGAGCAAAACCTGGCAAGTCTACAATGAAGTAGGAAACAATCAAGTAGGAAAAGCTTCATGGAATTCAGGATAAGCTTAAAAACTGCTGTCAAGCAGCATCAGACTGCTGCACACAACAGTGTGTCCCCCCCCCCAGGTGCTGGCACCAGACACGGGCTGAGCTCCAGCCACTCGGTAGCTCAGCACCCTGCTAGGGAAGGAGAGGATTTCATCTAGCCCTTGATTGACCCTCAGCTATAGTGTCCCTGTGGAGGAAGGAGACAGCCTGACACTGGCGTGACAGACAGATGGGTGCCAGACAGACAACTGGAGACCTCAGGCTCCCAAGAGATAACTGCCATGACCCACAGCAGCTAGAGCCAGCTCCAATGGGATGTGACCTCACACTACCTCTGCTCCTGCATCCACCATCCATGGCAGCCTCTGGGGACCACTGCCCTATGTCAGACTCCGGCTGCCAGGGGCCAGCCTGGCCCTTGTTTCCCCTCCCAGAGCCACCAGCTCCTCCTGCCATGCCGAGCTGGCCCCAGGGCTGAACTGAACCCCAGGCCCCAAAAGAAGCTGCTGTTGGGGGTCCTGGGCAGCTCTCAGGCTGAGATGGAGGACAGAAGAGGAAGATGGATAATCCATGGGAGGCACTGCCTGGGACATGGGAAAAGTCAGGAGAACAACTTGGAACACAGCCCACTCACCCTGTGCTGTCCCTGCACCCTCAGCCACATCAGCACAGAGGGAAGTAATGGCACAGAATGGTGGGGTGAAGGGTGGGCTTGCTCCCCACAGCACTGCTGGGGCTCCCGCCTCCCAGCTGATGCAGGATCAGCAGCATCACCCCGCACCTGCCATCAGCTCCACTGGGGAGCCAGCACCCCGAGGTGTCCCAGCACAGCAGCGTTCAGTCCTGTTCCTGTCCATCGGTCAGTCTCAGGCTGTCCATCAGTGATTTTTGTTTGCTCCTGCAGCCCAGAAATCTGCAAGACAGCATGGAGATGGGTACAGTCCTGCCCTGCTCATGGGGCAGCACCGGCAGAGAGAGAGGGGAAGGAAGGAGACCCCTCTCCCAGGAAGCACCAGCTTCCTTCCCACCTCTGCAGACACAGGCAGTGACACACAACATGCTGCAGTAGCTCATGCAAGGAAGGAAGGAAAAGGGAGGCAGAGGCTGTCAGGACTCTCTGTACCCAATCCTGCTGGTGGGACACAGAAAAGGAACACCCTATCACTTCAGGGGACACACAGCAGTGTCCAGACAAGCATCCTCCAGCAGAACAAGGGGTACCATGTCAACTGCCGGCTCAGAGGAAAAACCCAGCCAGGTCACCTGCCCTTCCCACCTCATCCCTAGGGACTGTCCATGAGGATGCAGAGATGTTCTCCATTTGCTCTGTGCCTGCTCTGACCACACCATGGCGTGTGACCCTTTTCTTCCATCCCAAAGGCAGAGGAAGGTTTGAGAACAAGCACTGCCAAACTGAGAGCTGTGCTGGCTGCCCTCACCCACAGACCCCAATACCCAGAACCTTCCTCTTCCCCAACACAGTATGTGCCTCAGGAGGGGCAGAGCCTGGGACAACCAGGACACCTGCAGAAGGTAATACCGTACCCACTGCAAGAGCAGTTGTACCCCGTGTATACCATGGGGCAACAGGGTTTGTGACAGAGGGCCTGCTCTAGTCCCATGGAGGGGGAAATGCACATCACCTAGAGTTTAGCAGAGGATGAAGCAATACCCAGCAAGGCAGGGAAGCTGTTGGCAGAGGTCAGCCAGCTCCCACCATCCACAACCAGGGTGGTGCCTGTCACATAGGAGGAGAGGGGGCTCGCCAGGTACAGCGTGCTGTGGGCAATCTCCGTCTTGTTCCCTGCACGCTGCAGGGGTATCGTGTCGAAATGGCTTGCTTCCTCAGCAAACTTCCCACCTAGGAGAGGGAGACGTCAGCCTCGATCACAGGCCCACCAGCCCACCACCACTGCTGCCAAACACTGCATGCGGCTTGCCAAGAGTCCAGGGAACCTGGTGAGATCCTGGCACAGCCCTGGGGACATCCCAGGGCCAAAGGCCTGAGTAGAGAGTTAAACGAGGGGAGCTCAAACCCAGCAGTGGGGTTTGTACTGCACAGTGAGCTCAAGACAGGACCTTGTAGAGCCTTTCCAGCCTCCAGGGCTGAACCAGCACTCCACTGATGGACTGCAACCATCAGGCAGGGCAGCTGGCTGGGCTGAGCACGTTACATCGTGTCATCAAAGCTCAGAAAGCTGATGTTTGACGGACTAAAATCAGTGCCCTGCGAGGTACCGAGGATGCAGGGAGGACTGCCCCCCATAAGGGACACACCAGTGCAGGCACAGGGCAGCCGTGCTCAGCAGCAACAGCCCCATGAGCTGCACAGCCCTGGTGGTCCCTCAGTCCCCTCCCAAGCAGATGCCAGGAAGCCATCACAAAGGCAAAGACAGGAGCCCCACGTTGCCCTCACCAAGCCGCCGGTAGCCCTCAGTGCCGGTAATGGGGCCCGGTGCCAGGCTGTTCACTCGGATGTTGTTGGGTCCCCACTCCACAGCAAGGTGACGGGTCATGGCATCTGGGAAGGGATCACAACAGGACTGAGAAAGGAGAGCAGAGCCATTCCAGTAACGTTTGGAGGACACAGAAGACTGGCCAAGAGCAAAGGGCCCCAGAAGAGCCCTGAGGGAGAGAAGAGCCTCATCCCAAAATCAGGCATGTAGTAGCCACACCAATTCATATTCACCTCTCCCAAGGATGTCTTCCCACCCCAATATTTGTGAAGAACTGGCTTCCTTACTGGCCCCACACAGCTCAGAGCCCCAGCAAGGAGTGCTTAGGTACCTATGGCAGCCTTAGCAGTACCAGCATGCACCTGCAGGGCCTGCCCTCGGTAGCTCAGTGTTGCAGTGATGTTGACAATGACTCCACCGTGGTCCTGAGGAAGGAAAGGAGACGTGGTGTTAGGCTGGGAGCTGCACAAGTGCTCTCATGTAAGAGCAGTGGGACAAGAGCTGGGCTGGCACTGCCAGCTCTGCACTGCTGAGGCATCATTGGGCAGCACTGCCCACCTGGTCTGACTGAGCTAGGGCACCCAGTGGGGACTCTCCAGAGAGCAGGGAGATGCAGGGAATAAGCAAAGGCCACGGGAAAGCAGAGGAGCTGGAAAAGGAGCAGATCACAGCTTCTTCCCCAGCATGTGGCAAAGCACGGGAAGGTGCCACAACTGTTAAAGTTCCAGGGGTAGGGACAAGCGGGATTCCCAGTCCCTGTGAGGGAACAGACTGGGGCTGAGCAGGGTGGGTGGCAGCAGCACAGCCCTGGGTACATGGGTGCTGTGCTCCCTTTTGCCCTCCACGCTTCCCTCAATTTCTCAGGAGCAAAGCATGGTTTGTTTGACACTAACCCCCTGCCTACAGGAGCCCCTCCACCAAGTCCTCTGGCCCTGGTTCCACTTACATGGAAATACTTCTCAAAGAGGACTTTGGAGGTGTTGAAGGTGCCAATGGTGTCGATATCTATCACAGTCTTGAAGGCATTGAAGGACAGGGCACTGGCTGGGCACAGGAAGTTTCCTGCAGCACCTGAAGAACAAGCAGCCAGGACACAGTCAGGACCAGCTCCAGGGGCAGGAAATGCCTTTCCTGGCAGGGAGCCCGTACCAAATCTCCCCCAGCCACTGCAGCAACTCACCATTGATGAGGATGTCAATCTGCTTGAACTCTCTAAGTGCTTCATCCACTGCTGCCACGATGGTTTGGGGCTGCCTGACATCGATGGACAGAGGCAGGCACTGCTGGCCTGTGGCTGCCACCAGCTTCTTGGAGGCCTGCAAAACAGGAAGAGACCTGAGATCCTTTCTGGGACTCCCTTCAGCAGGCATTAGTCCCAGAGCAAGAAGTCAAGCAGGAGCCACATCGCGGTCAGCACACAGCAAACGCTGCAGGCAGGTGACAGACCTGCCCAAACACAGCTCCAGCACAGCATCACCCTCCAGCTAAAGCCCTGAGGTAGCTGAGAAAGCTCCTACCGCTCCTCCCAAACACCAGGCTGCCTCTGGGCCACAGCTCACTAAGCCCAGATACCTACATGACCCTGCATCGACACAGCACACCCAGAGCAACATCTCTGCAGGGCAGGTACAATGGCTGAACCCCAACAAGGCATGAGCCAGACACAAGTAACCTTTACATTCAAAATATGTCAGTAGGCAAAAGGGCAGAGCAGCAGTTACCAGGGTGTCTGCCCCAAAGGCAGCTCAGGCCAGCTCTGCAGCTCAGCCTCTGCCACCCCAAGGTGCCCATTAAGAACATGTTTCCCCCTGGCTAATTCAGCACAGGGGACCCTGAACTCAGCAGCAACCCCACACAACACCCAGTGATGCTCTGTGTTCCTGCCTGGGCTTGTCAGGCCCTTCTGTGGGAAGCTTTGAGCACCAACCAACCCACATGTACGCCAAGAGCCTGGGCAAGCAGTCCCTGTGTACTCCAAAAAATCCAGCCCCTGAGGACTGGAAAGCTGCTGAACTTTGCAGCTTGTTTTCTCGCACATGAGCATGAGGGAATGTGGAATGACAGCAAGCCATGTCTGGGAGGCAGCTGGGTCATGCCAGCTCACCCCCAGGTGCAGGGTTTGATCTTTGTTATACTGCAGTGAAGTTCACGCACGCAACCACAAAGCTCTCTTGTGTCAGGCTGCTTTCAGTCTGAGACCAGAGCACAAACCATGGTGAGGAGCAGAAACTGTGACCAGCCAGACTCCAGCTGGGGTCAGACACACCAGGGTGGGTGTTTGCTCTGTTCAGTTGCCCCAGGCAGAAATAGTTGAATTCAGCTTCTTCAGTCAGCATGTTCCAGACCTGCATTTTCACCCCCAAACACAAGAGAACTGAGATGCTGGGGCTCAGCATACCCACCTCAACACACAGATCCCTTGGCATGGGGTTCTTCTCCTACTCAGAGCTGAGATTCAAGTTTGACCTTGGGCCCTGCCACTCCCCTGCTGACAAACCTTCCCCACAGTTTGTTTCTTTCTGTCCCATCAACAGAAAGATAATGTGGTATCTGGAACAGACATCCCTAAAGCTGGCGGGGGAAGGTACCAAGTTCCACAATTAACCAAGCTCTACTGTGAGACGTTGTGGTTGCAACCTCCCCTAAACCTGCACCCACCTCTCATCACTGCTGTTACTGAGGCACTTAGAGCCAGGACATCACAGAATCCCAGACTGGTTTGGGTTGGACGGACCTTAAAGCTCATCCAGTTCCAACCCTCTGCCATGGGCAGGGACACCTTCCACCAGACCAGGTTGCTCCAAGCCCCACCCAACCTGGCCTTGAACACTGCCAGGGATGGGGCAGCCACAGCTTCTCTGGGCACCCTGTGCCAGCGCCTCAGCACCCTCACAGGGAAGAGCTTCTGCCTAAGAGCTCATCTCAGTCTCCCCTCTGTCAGGGTAAAGCCATTCCCCATTGTCCTTTCCCTACAGACCCTTGTCCAAAGTCCCTCTCCAGTTTCTTGTAGCCCCTTTAGGCACTGGAGCTGCTCTAAGGTCTCCCCTTAAGGAGCCTTCTCTTCTCCAGGCTGAACCAGCCCAGCTCTCTCAGCCTGGCTCCAGAGCACAGCTGCTCCAGCCTTTGCAGCATCTCTGTGGCCTCCTCCAGGCTCGCGTACACCGGTGGGACCCCACCATAAGCCATTTCTTCTGTTGCCTTACCCAAGGCATTCCCAGCTCTCCCTTTCGCTCTGTGTCCCAGACTCACCTCCACCACCCGCTGCAGGTTCCGGCTTGCAATGACAGTCCGGCAGCCGTGCCTGCGAAGAAGGGCGGGTGAGGACCTCGCAGGGCTGCCTGCTAAGCCACCTTGACCGCCGGCCCGGGGTTACCAGGGGCTCGGCCGGTGAGCGGTGTCGTGAGGCCCTGGAAGAACCGCTGCTCCTCCGAGCCCGCGGGACTCGAAGAGGGGGACTCCCAGCGCAGCAGAGCGGGAACCGGGGCCCCGCAGCCCCCAGGGCCAGCGGCACACCCCTCCCGCCTCAGGGCGAGGAAGCCCGGGGAGCCCTCCCCGGTCACGCCGCACCTCATGAAGATCTCTGCGATGCGGAAGCCAATGCCCGACCCGCCGCCGGTGATGAACGCGACCTGGCCCCTGCGGGAACAAAGGCACGGTCAGAGCCGAGCGCCGGGCCCGGTCTCTGGCCGAGGCGGCCTCGAGCGGCGCGCCGGCCGCAGCACTGCCCCCCCGTCGCCCCCATGGCCGGGCACTGACGCCAGGATGTCGGGACTGAAGAGGTGCCTGTACTCGCGGAGGCACTCATCGCTGTCCACGTCCGGCGGCGGACGGGAGGCCGCTGCTGCCTCCGCCATGGCGCGCGATCCCCCGCCAGCACCGGCACTCGAACCCGAACTCTGACCCGCTGCGGCGAGGCACGGCGGGACAAAGCCGCACGGCCTGCTGGGAGATGTAGTCTTCGCCGGCGAGGCCTCCGCAATCCGCATGCGCAGGCGTCGTCAGGCGTTGCCTGGCAACAGCGCGGGGCCGGAGCTGGGTCCCGCAGCGCCCCTGTGTGTCCGCACGGGGCCCGATGCATCCCATTGCATCCCAGAGCCCCCCCCAGCGACATCCCGGTGCTTCCCAGGGCCCTCTGGGAATACCTGAATGCATGCCTGGGACAGCTCGGTGCCCCCCAGTGTCACCCAGGGACAGCCCAGTGCCTCCGAGAGCTTCACAGTGCACCCCATAACTTCCCAGAATCAACCCAGTGTCAGGCATGGCCATCCCAGTGCCTCCCAGAATTGCCTCAATGCCCTCCATGGACACCCCAGTACTTCCCAGACCTTTCCCATGCCACTCCAGTGCCCCCTGGGGATACCTCAGTGCATCCCAGAATTTCCCAGTACCATCCCAGTCTCCCAGTGACATCCCGGTGCCCCCAGAGCTTTCCACTACTGCCCCAGTGGCCCCCAGTGCTTGCTGGTAGCACCCAAGGGAGGAGCCCGGAGCCCGGGCTGGAGGCACTGGTGTTTATTGAAGGGCTGCCCTATGGCCCATAGGTGTAGTCCTGGTCTCCGCTCTCCCAGGCCACCAGCTCATCCCTCTGGAACCAGAAGCTGATCTCCCGCTGAGCCGTCTCCACCGAGTCACTAGCATGGACAACGTTCCTGTACGGAATGAAGCCAGAGCCATGAGCAGGGGATGCCATGTCTAGCCCCGTTACCTGCCCTGCATGGGCCATGGGGTCACTACCTGCTGACGTGCATGCTGAGGTCCCCCCGGATGGTCCCTGCTGCTGCCACCGCTGAGTCCGTGTCCCCCACCATGGCCCGCGTGGACCTGACCACGTTGTAGCCCTCCCACACCTATGGGACAGGGAACACCTGAGCCCCCCACACCCACCAGGCCCCCCGAGCCCCACATCGCAGCCCTCACCATGGCCACCAGCGGCCCCGAGGTCATGTATGCGAGAAGCGCGGGGTAGAAGGGCTTCTGCAGCAGCTGCTGGTAGTGCTTGTCCAGGAGACCCCGGTCCGCCTGATGGCAGTGTGGGGACACATTGGGGACACGGGGCCAGTGTTCCCCACTGGCACCCCTGTCCCAGCACCCCCTGAGCCAGGCTGCCTGGGGGTATGGGCGGCAGCTCAGTGGGTACCTGGAGCAGCTTCATGGCCACCAGCTTAAAGCCACGCCGCTCAAAGCGCTGGATGACCGTGCCCACAAGCCGCCGCTGCACCGCGTCTGGCTTCACCAGCACCAGCGTCTTCTCCTGCAGCTCCGGGGGGGCTGGACAGGGACCGAGGGACCAATGTCACCACCAGAGGGGAGGCACGGGCAGGGGACACGGCAGCAGCACCCCAAGCTGCCCACGGGGCACCAGAGACTGCTGCTCCACAACTGCTGCCACAAGGTGAACCTGTCCCCATCCCGAGGCCGTGTCCCCCTGGACAAGCTGTGCCTCACAAGGACCCAAGGGACGTGCTGCAAAGCCTTGACAGGCACTTGGGCACATGTCCATGGCCAGGAAACACCCTTTAGCCCAGCGTGGGATGGGCTGGCTCTGGTTCTGAAACACTGTGTCCTTGTGCTGGTGCTGCCGGTGTCACCCTGCGTGCCATCGCTGCTGCCCGGCCTCGGGTGCTTCCCTCTGCCTGGGCACAAAGCGGGCCACAGCTCTCCAGCTGGAGACGCAGACGGAGCACCATGGGATGGCAGGGTCTGGCTTCACTATCACCCCATGGCACAGCAAGGTCTGGCATCACCATCACCCCTTCGCCACACTGGAGCCACGCTGGCAGGAGGGAACACGAGTCCCCCAGTGGACTGCATCCCACCAGTTGGAGGTGTGGAGGGAACAGGAAAAAGAGGAAGGCAGAGGGACAGAGGACACCAAGCTGGGGTGTTCTGCTGCCAGCCCAGGCTTTGTGCTCCTGTCCTGGACTGCGGGGCTGGGCCGCTGCTGGCGGCAGCAACCCCACGAGCCCACCAGCTGCTCTGGTGCTGCTGGACATGGACCAGGTTCACCAGGTTCCCACCTGTCCTCCCATTGCAGCCCTGGGGACACCAAGCCTGGGACCTGCAGGGTGGTGCTGCGGCAGCCACCAGCCACAGCTCTGCCCCATCCCAGCACACAGGGCTGGGGCAGGAGACCCCGGGAGCAGCTCACACCACAAAGCGCAGGAGGCCCTGGGCCACCTGCCCTGGTTGGGGCTGCCCTTGGGATGGAGGGACAGGGGGGCAACATGGGCGCAGGATGGGGATGGGACCCCTGAAGGACAGAAGACTGAGGACAGAGTGGGGACGGAGACCTGGTCACCAGGGTCGGGACAAGGTCCCCTAGGGGCAGGGCAGGGATGGGGTATAGGTCCCCGGGGCAGGAGAGGGAAGGGGCTGGGGACAGGGACCGGTCCCTAGGCCGGGATGAGGACGGGGCAGGAGAGGGAAGGGGCCGTGTCTCACCGGAGCCGTAGCAGCGGGGCCCGGGGGCGCGGCTCGGGCTCAGCTGCCCCCACAGCAGGCCCCGGGACAGGCAGCGCCCCAGGGAGCCCATGGCAGGGCCGGCGGGTCGGACCTGGCCGCAGGGGGGCCCGGCCGCCCCGCGCAGAATTTAAAGGCCCGGCCGAGGCCGGGGCCGGGTCAGGAGCTTGCCGTGTCCCTCCCCTTAAAGCAGCCGCCGGGACCGGGACAGCCCCCGGCCCGGAGCACCCCGCAACGGGGCACTTCAAGCGCTGCCGCAATGAGAGCAGAGCCAGAGGTGGGAGCGTTTCCAATGTGCATTTTACTCCTTACTCCCCATCTCCTGTTTCCTTCCTGCCTCCCCAGGGTGTCCCCACACCCTGGGACAGCAGCTCAGAAACAGCCTGGGGGTGACATGGAGGGCGCAGGCCCTGCTCTGCACCATTCCAGAAAACGTCCCAGTTGGCATCTCCATGAGCAGAAATGGATCAACAGATTGTGCAATATAGACAGTGGCACCCACCCCCCAGAGGTGGGTCGAGGTGGGGAAAGGGTCCTCTCCAGTGCCTGCAGTGAGGGTAGAGAGGAAGGGGGTTCTTCAGTATTTATCTGTGCATGCAGAGGGGCTGAAGGCAGGGCTTTGGCCACCTTCCAGCTGCTGCCCTTGATGCAGGGGCAAACATGTACTTTCACCCTCTGTCAACCAGAGGTTTTGCAAGAAAGAAGCACCAGCACCATTGTGGGAGGGCAGCAGTGCCAGCAGCGCATCAAACCCCTAACAGCCTCCCGCTGAAGGAAACAATGGCCAGGGTGGGAGGTGCAGGAGGGGGCAGGGGCTGACACTGGGGGTGAGCAGGGGACAGCTCAGGAAACTAGGGCCAGGTTTGGACCCTGCACTGCATCTTCATCCACCTGATGACCAACAGGAAGAACAAGGACTCAAGGTTTCACGTGCAGATGATGACACTCCAAGAGCTACTCCAAGAACTGCTGCTTTGAGCCATGTGCTGTCAGTGGAGGTTCCTTAAATCACAGAATGGTTTGGGTTGAAGGAACCTTAAAGCTCATGCAGTTCCACCCCCCTGCCACGGGCAGGGACAACTTCCACTAGACCAGGTTGCTCCAAGCCCCATCCAACCGGGCCTTGAACACTGCCAGGAATGGGGCAGCCACAGCTTCTCTGGGCACCCTGTGCCAGTGCCTCAACACCCTCACAGGGAAGAGCTTCTGCCTAAGAGCTCATCTCAATCTCCCCCTCTGTCAGGTTAAAGCCATTCCCCCTTGGCTGGCATCTACAGGCCCTTGTCCAAAGCCCCTCTCCGGGTTTCTTGTAGCCCCTTTAGGCACAGGAAGCTGCTCTGAGGTCTCTCTGGAGCCTTCTCTTCTCCAGGCTGAACAACCCCAGATCTCCAAGAGTTCCAGCTGCTGGGAGCTCAGGGTCATTCACCTGGAGGAGGTCAGATCTCTGCAGCCCAGTGACAGATCATCCATTACCCACCTTCATGTTGGTCTCCAAAGGTCCATGACCTGTGCAGACAGTGGCTAGCAGTTGTCAGAACTGTACCGGGTGAGGCAGGGCTGAACTCCAACTCAAGCTGCTCACTGGAGGGTTTGAAACCCAAACATCAAACTGGTCCCAGTTCAGAGAGCCTGGATGTGAGGCTCTGCCTGTACACAGGTTATCCAAACAGCAGACATCTCCAACAGCAAACATACATAGAGCAGGATGTTTTCCACAAAACTGGAAATAAAGGAACCATGAAGCAAGTGCTCCTACACTCCAGCCAGATACACCCGCCCCCCGTTGTCCACGTGCAGCATCTCGCCCACATCCACATATGTTTATGGCTGAACACCTCCAGGCTTCTCCTTTCACAGTGACCTGTGTCGTTTTCCTATGCAGCTGCCCTGGTAACTGCAGAGAATTAAGACTGATTTAAAGCTCTGTCCTATCTACCTGTCTAGTGGACCCAGGGTAAAAATAAATCCTTCCAAGCTGCATGGTGGGAGATTCACAAGCCCCCAAAACTCCGTTCCTGACTGGAGACTGGGATTTTAACCTTATGCTCAATGCCACTCTCGGGTCAGTCTGGCCAGCAGCTGGCCTTCGGCTCAGGTCTCCTGTGATGCAACACCCTGAATGTTAGATTTCTGCCAGCAGGCAGCTCTTGGATCAATACAGACAATGGTCTGCTGGAGGCAATAAACAGATCACAACAGAAAACACTGGGGAACACAGGTACGAAACACAGTGAGGGGACAGCAGAGAAAAGCCAACACTGATCTGCAGCAGTCTGGGAGCTGCTGGACTTCGTGGGAGCCTTCTGCATCCAGGGCATGGAATGAATGATGCTGGTCCTCTTGCTTGGTCAGGCAGTACAAAACACTCTTTCCTGTAGTAGAATGGCTTGGTGACAGGCCTACAAGGAAACTAAAGCAGGTTACAAGTCTTTAAAACAACAAAGTAAGCACTTTATTTCCATTAAGCATGTTGTTTTAGTATCACAATGGAATGATGAGAAAACGTTTAAAAAAAAACCCAAAAAAAGTCTCTAACCCCCCAGACAGCGGGAGGTATTCAAGGCAATTTAAAAACCAAGGAGTGACAGAAGTGCC